AAGCGTAGGAAATTTTCGAGCGGACCGCGATCTTCGTTTGAAACTGGACGTACATTGCAAATTTTTGGACACATGTATATATGCGTGATTTTCTATTGTCTGTTATTTCTATGTGTAGTCACCTTTACTTTTCGCTCCAAGATCGCTCCAAACTTCAACCACATAAATATATTTGTATTTTGTAATCTTGTGATATATATTTGTAACTTAAATTTTAGAAACGTTATTAACTAGAAGTAAATAGTCCAGAAGAAAGATATAATAGGAGTCAAGTGTCTTGTCGAGCTTTAATAAAACGTTGCAATGACTTATTAAAGATGCGGTTTCGCACGTGTTTATTGAAACACAAAGTTTTACACTATTCACGACAAACGGCATGTAAAATTATAAATGCTTGTGCTATTTTGCACAATATGTGTATAGAAAATAATATCCCATTCCCACAATATGATGATAATTGGCAAGTTGATGTTTAATCAGTACATCGGTGATAACAATGAACAAATAGCAAATATAGAATGAATCCTGATTTGGCAGCAGGTAAACAATTGCGAAACAGATTGATTCGTACTTATTTTCATTGATATATATATTTATATACATATACGAATGCGGAAAAGACCTTACATATAGAATACATTATACATATAATGTGTATCATACATTTAATATACAATATGTAAAATGTATAACATGCAATGTAAAATAAAATAGTAATGTAACATACTTCATAAATTTTTTGAATCTTTTATAATAAAAAAAAAGCAATATCACATGGAATCACAAAGAATTCTTATGCAGTCTTTACTCTGTAGAACTCAACATATTATAAATCATAACAACTTCTTATTTAATAATAAACATGGATATATTGACAAACTCTGAACCTATAATATACGTAATACACATACGAGTAATAAATCTTTATGCTCATATTAAATTTAAAAATAGGAACATATATAAAAATAAAACTGAAAAAATGAAAGATCTACAACGCAAGAATTACATTATGCTGTATTATGAAGGATTGCATTTTTCAACAGCATTAACCAATCTTTTTTGAAGTCTTAACTTTCGTTTCTTCAGTATTAACTTTTGGTCATAATAAGAACTTTGGATTTGGTAAGTTTGTTTTGCTACTTCTGCCAGTTCTCTGTTGGCTGTTGTATAGATTGAACATTGTCTAACTTTTTTTTCCTTTTTTTAATTATTGGTGTAGTTGGAGAACCATTATTATCATTTTCATTTAAATTGTATGCACTATTATCAATTAATGAATTTTCTTTATCTTCGTTGTTTGCTTCAGTGCTTTCCATGTTAATATTGACTGCATTATTATGTTCACCAATTTGTATCAACTCTCCTACATTCTGCTGAAGATATTCCCCTTCATTTCCGATTATTTCCAAATGTATCTAACAATAAGAAGCAGAGATATATAAATGCATGCTTTCTATTACAGGGTTGGCAGGAAAAGTCCAGTGGGTGGAAATAACCAAGGTAAATTCCGGATTTTACCGGTTCGGAGTTTATCCACTGGAATAATAAACTGGTAAAAACTATAAAACTGACTATTAATATGCGATATTATTATATTTATATATTTTATATATAATAAAATATACACACACACACATCGCATTATAAAAAAAAAATCTTACCAATTGTGTTGTGAGATCTGGTTCTTTTTTACCATTTAACATATTTTATATATAATAAAATGCACATCGCATTATAAAAAAAAAATCTTATTAATTGTGTGAGATCTGGTTCTTTTTTACCATTTAACATATTTTATATATAATAAAATACACATCGCATTATTAAAAAAAATCTTACCAATTGAGATCTGGTTCTTTTTTACCATTTAACATCTTATAACAAAAAACTAATTTATTTGCTGCATTGATTCTTAATCTAATTCGAATTTTATTTTGAATAAAACTTAAATTGGAAAACACTCTTTCAATTGATGCTGAACTGACTGGACAATTATATAAGTGAATGACAAAATTAATGAAATCTTCGGAGAAATTACTATTTTTATGTAACGCGCTTTACACCACGTTTGAACATTCATATTTCTGACTTTCTCGGAAAAGAACGATTTTGGAAATGGTTTAGCCTCTGCTTGAAACGATACAATTAACGGTACAAATTCAGGCGATATTTCTGCTGCATAATTTCGTGCAATATCTTTTTGTTTTTCGGACAGTTCTGTATTGACATATTGCGGATGCAATAGATAAGCTAGCATATGTGCAGGTGTAACAGCTTCAGAAAACCTCTTTTCTAAAATATTTTTATATGGTTTCAATTATTCATTATTTATCAATGTTATCCATAATTTGGTAGCATCCGCCAAATTGCAATTTTCAGCTTGGCACTAAAATTAAATAAATTATAAAAATAAAAATAAAAATTCATTATTAGAATGGCAATATTTCGTGAACATTGTACTATAGTTCATCAGACCTGTGATATTGTATCAAGCTCCTTGCCTTGATAAAATAAACAGTAATGTTCACGAAACATTGGCATTTTAATAAATTTAGATACAAAAGATAATCCGTGAAATAGATAGCTTCTGTATAGAAAAAACTCGTAGAAGCTTTAAAAGTTTTAATTAAAGTAAAATATTAAAGAAATAGATTCTATTTATTATTTATATTTTATTTTTTAATAAATATATATAAATATATTTTATTATTTCAAAATAATTTCGTATCAAAGCAGTGATAATATTTAAAGACAATTAATAACTATATATAAATTTATTCTAAGCACAATATGTATATTGAAGTGAAAACAGACAATTCTATTTCTTTTCAATATAAATATATTTTTTTTCTCTTACCTTGTCAAGCGCGTTTGCTATGTGTATTAATTGACTATGCAAAGATTTTGCTTCTTTAGAAATTATAACATTATTAGTAAATTTAATAATACATATTAGTAAATTAAAGAAACTCATATACAATTCTTTGAAATACTATAATATGTTGTCCCACTATTATCATGATTTTCAGGCTAAATTCTAAGAGAAAATTCTCTCCGTGTAGTGTCTCGCGCTAAGAGCAGTGATATCAAAGCGCGAGATTACCGTATATCTTTACACGAGCTATTAAAAATAATCAAATTTACTTATTTGATTATTTTTAATAGAAAAGACCAGTGTTTTTGCTGGTTTTTTCCATATATTCCCCTTCATTTCCAATTATTTCAAAATGTATCTAACAATAAGAAGCAGAGATACATAAATTCATGCGTTCTATTATGTTATAATAAGGAATGTAAAAATAAGGCTAAAGAAGAAAGTAAAGTAAAATAGAAGAGATTGAAGAAATTAGAAAAAACCTATCAATTACAAAAATATATGTAGAATTTTACCTCAGAGTCTGATCCTATGTGAACTTCACTTTCGTTTATCTCTTGGTCTGTTTTCTGTTCCTGCACTAGACTGTTCTAAAACTCTCTTTCTCGCTTTAAACAAATATCAAACGTATATCTACCTCACTTTAAGTTCCAGAAGTGTACACTAGTTCAGCCACAAAAAACAGACCTTCTGTGTGTCCATTAATACTTGTGGAACAAATTAAATTTAATGTTGCTGCCTCTGTTGTACTTAATTTTAGGTTAGATTCAGTCCCTCCTCCAGTTTTATTTCGTTCTGCATTTATTTTGCTTTGCGTCATTTTACTACGAGATCATAATATAAGTTTTAATGTAATAGAAATTATTCGATTTATATCTATTATATGTAGTATATTAATATACGTTATATACTTACTTTCCGCCAAGATTTCCAATCTTTACTTATACCATTGCAACTATTTAAGATATCTGTTATCTTTTGCCATAAGATGGTTGCATCTTTATATGTAAAATCAGCTGAAAATTTACCCGACAATAAGCGCAGATTTTTTTCCACATATTGTAATAATAATGTTTTTTGTACTGATATTTGATTATTATTTAAGTGACTATTTGTTACTTACAGACACGTACTCGAGTTTTTACTACAGATAATTAATAATCCAGATTAATACTACAGATAATTAACAAAAAGTGTTGCCACGTATTCTATTCGTGCAAAAGATACGTACACGAATCTAAATACGAACGCTTGCATTGTGTCTTAAAGAATACATATTGATGATTGAACGATAAACGTATGCGTATTTGAACCATTCGTAAGTTACGTATACGTAAAGTTACGAGAAAGTTAAAGAATCGGGCCCAGGTCTCGGTTCGAATCCTGGAACGCTCTAATCTTTTTCTCGCTTATTTCTTACAATATTAAATATGAAGTGCCTGGATAAATTTCCTCACGGATATATACTACTTACAGCATATATAAAAAATATGTCCAGATTAAAATTTTTATACTCTTGACTCAATTTTAGATTGCCACGCTTTTTTATCTAGACTCCACATTGGCCTTCAAACCTGGGCGAAGTTTGAAGACTAATGTGGGACTAAGATAAACAAGTATGACAACCCAAAATTGAGCCAAGGTGAGCATCCTAACTTGGCCCCGATTACAGTCTATACTGTGTTCAACGAGAGAATGACCTCGATTTGTGCCTAGCAGGCAATATAAGGCTGTACAACGCTATGAAGTACAATGCTATAAAGTATGCTGTACTGTATGCAAAACAAATTCGAGGTCATTTTTTTCATTGAACGGAGTATAGCAAATACTTTCGAATGCGCTGGCAGAGCCAGAGATTTGATACACAATCGAGCTGGGAGTGGGAATAATCAGTGGTGCACATTTGGCTCCCCGGCAACACAAGAATCATCCCCACCACTCTCGCTGTCTCGCTCGCTCTCACGCAGCGGCTTCGCGAGAGGGAGCGAGACAGCGAGAGTAGTGGGGATGATTCTCGTGTTGCCCGGGAGAATGTGCAGCACGGAGTGGGATAGCCGATAAACTTTGCAGCCTTCAAGTAGTATATAAGAACGAACAACACGGAACAAAATCGAAGCACTTTCTGTGAAGTTGATAGTGAATATAGCACTTCCTGTGAAATTGATAAAGTAATTTCCTATAAAAATAATCAACTGAGAACACGTTATAAATTAAAAAATATTATAAAATGTGGTTCCTCAATAAAATATGTACGAGTAAAGTACGTCTTGAGGGCAAAACTGTTGTGATAACGGGAGCAAATAGTGGTATCGGCAAAGAGACTGCTAGAGATTTATACGCGAGAGGTGATTTTACTGAAATATATTTTTAGTTACTCTAAACTTTGAAATGCAAATACATGGGAAGATCATTAAAATAATAGTGTAAAACTGGATGTCAAAATTTTTTGCAATATTAATCTCGTCGTGATTGACTTTTCTACATAATTATATTGATAGTCCAAAATTATTTTCAGATCTGTATCTACTTAAATTCTTACACTTCAAGTAAAATCGTTCTTTCCGTGCAGATGTTGCTTATGGCATAAATGAAATATAAATTTATTATTGGTTAAAGTGATATAATTCTCTTCACAATGATAATATCTAATTGTATTGCATCATCCGACAAAATTTGATTTTTTTTCTTGTCTTTGGTATGTGCAGTGTCATGTCCCGAAAATTTTTGACCGTTAGATTTGAGTCCAAGCTCGGAAAATTCTATTATGTCACATTTCCGTGAAATTTTGTCGTTTTGCGCGTTTATTTAACCACTACGGTGTTTTTTGATCATATATAGGCAGTAAGTGTCATATCTTGAGTTTTGTTTCTTAGATAGGTCAGTCATCAGAAGTGAAAATAACAGCTAATGAAGAAGAAAATGAGATATTTTATTGTTTTAATCAACAGTTTGTGGTATAACAAGACTAAATTAAAAAGTGCTATAACATTAAGGAAGGCATTTGGAAGTAATGAAGCAGCAAAGTTATTTTTTTCTGTTTTTTTATTAAAACTCAATTACGCATAGAAATAACGAAAAATGACAATACAGCTTTTTTTGTTGCTGCTAAAGTTTTCTACAAAATGAGTATTTATCGAGCTTTGTGCTGTGAATAGAATTTGAGACACAGCGGTCTGAAGATGACCTAAAATCCTAAAAGTGTCCTAAAATTTCTTGAAAAATAGGCAAGAAAGGGCATTCTTTCAGTTATTTTCTTGTAAGTTGTTCTGAGTGCATCGGAGAGTTAAAAATGATATAAGATAATTTAATGTAGACGTCTTATCTGAAAAAATTCAGTTCCATACGATTAATACTTTCAGAGATATTAAGCTCCAAAGTAGGCATTTTTTTTATTAAATTCGTTCTTTTTCGAATATTAAAGTGTTTTTTTTTTCATAAGGTAACTCCGGTATATACGCCGCGCTGGGATTTACGCCGTGGAAAAAATAGGAGAAGTGGGGGTAATTTTCTCGCAACTACTCTGTGACATGCCTTTATGTTATATTAGATATAATTTCATATTGAGATATAATTTCAGCTTCTTATTGTTAATATTAATGAAATTATTGCTAGTTGAATCGATTTGTCACTGTATGCGTAACAAGTAGCATCATCATAAATTATAATCTACATAAAATGATTACTGTAAGGCGTGTAAAAGACCTAGTAGTTATTTCGTGATACATACGTGTAGAGGAATAGTAAAGCATGTTGTATAGAGCAAAATACAAGTGCTTTGCTTTCGTATTCTTTATTAAGTTTGTTGAAACCCTTGCATTTTTGGCATATATCCCACCCATTTTCTATATATAGCAAAAATGCAAGATATATATTTCAAAAAGTTTATTTTTTAATACGAAAACTAAATATTTCGGATTTCTAATATTTTTTTTCATAGTAGTGTAGACAGTACAAAGTTTTTACTGATATAGTTCGTTTATTTTAAACATAGTAAATAATACTTAATAAATTAAGTTTTTGATAGGTGCAGCGTATATACCGGAGTTACCCTATATATAATAAATTAATAATTAACAAATTAAACAGTAATACAAATAATAAGAATTTAAAACAAAATTAATCATTTCACATCTACGATATAATGTAATACTAAGATTGTTCGCTCTACGTTAAGTATGTGTACAGGGTGTTTTCAAATTCGCACCCGCGAAGTACAAGACATGATGACTTTATGCTAAAAGAAACAACTTTTTTCCTTTGCAAAATTGCCTCTGATAAGCAATTTTTGCAGTAGAGCAGGTTGAAGTTAATGAATAATCGCTATGATTTATGTGGCCTTTTATTGTTAAAAAATTAAAGAGTTTGTTTTTTTATTATAAAAAACAAAGAGTTTGTTTTTTTATTGTAAAAAATAAAGAAAGAATTAGCTCTTAAAATACCGTATATATACTCGAATTTTATTTTATTTTTTTTACTTTATTTTTAATCACTATTTCAAAATAAATCAATTTTTAAGCATTTAAGGTAATCACGTACTCATTTAATTATAGTAAACTATTATTTAAGTTTAGTGATACTACTTAACTATCATATACAATTGTGCAATATTTGAAAGAATAGAATTTTCAACAAAGCAAATCAAGCATATTATTATTTACATTTGTCTTTACTTTTTTCATATATATAATATATATATATATTATTCATTTATTTATTATTACGTAAAAAGTGAGAGCAATATTTATTCTGCTATCTTCTAATTTTTTAAGCAATACAATACAAAAGGAGGTCATAATCCAGTATTCATAGATTCTTATAATTTAAGATTGCCTTAAGTACAGACTTATGCAGTCGTAAACTATCATAACAAATCATAACAAATTATCTTAATATATTATACTTATGAATACTAGTCAAGGATTAAAGTGCAAGTAAACAAAGAAGCGCATGCCGGCCTTGAGCGCATATAAATAAAAGCGCTTACTCGTTAACTTCAATTTGTTCTCCTGCTAAAAAAACAATCTGCAAAACTTACATATCAGACACAATATTGCAAAAGGAAAAAGGTGTTTCTTTTTAACACATAAAGTATCACGTCTTGTACTTCGCGGGCGTGAATTTTAAAACACTCTGTACAATCAACATTTATAGTGAATTTTTTTATCAATTTATTTTCTGTATCTGTTTCTTTGCAAAAAAAATCAAACTTTTAACGAAAAGCAAAAATTTTTGATGTAATGTGTGTTGTTTTTAAAACGACTAGCAAGAGTAGAAAAAGTGATTACAGCGCTTAATGAGATATTTTTATAAAAATCTTTCAACGAAACGTAAAATATTCTTACGTAACTTAAAAAAATGGTTACATTAGATATTTATAGAAAAATTCCGTTATCTAAGCGCTATTAGCCACTTTTTATCACTCGTGCTAATCGCAATATAAAAAGTTACGTCAGAAATTGTTTCTTCTCGTTGAAAGGTTATATTTTTATTACAAAGAGACATACAAAAACTGAATTAATAGGAAAGAACTGACTGTAAATTGTTTTTATTATTCCGCTACACCGCGCATCTTCCTCAATTTTGAATAAATGTCAGACGATTATAATTTCAAATCCACGTAACTTATTTGGTAAAAAAATTGTACAAAAACAAAAAAACTCGTGAAGGTAAAAAATAGCACTTTAAAATAGTATAAACAAAATTGGCAAAATAAATAATTTCCTTAACAATACTTCCTCCGTAATACCATTTTAAATATGGCCAAAATCATCATTTTTCGTTTATAATATCTCAATTTTCTCGGAAATATGACATGATAAGCAAATTCTAAAAACAGCATCGTTTTCAACTTAAGGGGATCCTAAAGCTTCCTGTTTTACCACGTAAGCACGTATAATTTTTGTAGAAATACTTTTTTTCTCTTTCGCCGATTCGAAAATCCTTTTCCAGGATTAAAGTATACGCATTAATACGTGTCTGAAAAGTGGAGTCTATGCCGAGAACGATCAAAAATTTTAAAATTGATATATTTTTTACCATTTCTTGTGTAACATGGCGTCTCAGCTATCAAGTCGTGACAACATTTGCTTGATATGAAAGTTTTGCAACCTGTATGTACGAAATAGTGGTTTCCAAACACGTAGTTTACACGAACAAACAACGTCGAGTTCTTAGAATTAGACTTAGAACCGGTTGTTCCATCTTTTGATCAATTTTACCTGTGAGGTAAATCTGGTAATCTGTGCATGTGATTGGATAATCTTACTACTTACCCAACAGATAAAATTTACCAAAAGGTGGAACAACCGGTCCTTAGACGCTTTATCGCGACGAATTTGTTATACGAAAATTGACACGTACGTGTGACTGCGTGTATCATAGGTTGCGTGCAGAGCCGGCTTAAGGTATTTGTGGCCCAGGGGCTGATGTTAAAACGGGGCCTCCTTCATTCATAAGAATTGTTTTATAATAGTATAGATAATAAATACCTATTTTTATTGATATATTTATTATAATAATAGAAATTATTTATTGAATAATAGATATTGAATAACAATAAATTAAATGCAAAATACATATATACTTTGCAATTTCTATTTAAGAAACGTGGTTGTTCGTATAATGACTTTTGTTTGTAGTTCCAGTCGTTTTAATTCTGCTTAAAAGATACAAATAAGTTCTGGATGTTGAAGAATAAACACATGAAGATAATTCACATTTTATTTAAAGTTGTAGCATTTACAAAATTTTTTTTCTCGATTTAGTGTGCGCAAATTCATTTATTAGATCACAAAAATCAATATTATTTAGCAGTTCGCTTTCTATGGATAATAATGCTAGTGACGATAATCTAGCATTGGCCATTGTGGATCGATATTTATTTTTTATTAATGTTAATTTAGAAAACGATCGCTCAGCCTCGCAATTTGCGATCGGTATCGTTAAAAATAGTATAAATGCTACATATATATTTGGAAAGACTTCATAAAGTTTTCGAACGCACATCCATTTTAAAATGTCAAGAAAGAATGCGACATTTTTTAAACTAGTTTTTATAAACGGAATAAATTATTCCAGCTCGTAACCTAAACTTCTTTCCAAATCATGAGAATAAATGCTAACGATACGATCAGCGCACTCTCGCATTTCATCGATTTCGATGGTCGTTAATTTAGTTAGGAAACCAAATAACTCTGTTATGTGATTATATGCCGAACTTCGTTTTTCTAATTCAACTTGAAGTTTGTCAACGATCACATTAAATGATTCAATACGGAATTTTTCGCAGCCATCTAAATTTTGAATCTCTGTTACATTATCTGCATATTTGCGCGTAATTTTTCGTTTCTTTGTATCAGAATATTCTTGTTGTACAAAAGAGCCTAAATTTTTAGAATCGTTTTCTATTGCTGTAAAATTATTTCGTAAATCACTAATAAAATTAACTAGCGAGTGTAACATATTATTAGCTGTAATCAAGTCGAGTTCGACTTTTTGCAAAAATTTGCTAGTTGTATTGAACCGTGAAAGAATTCGATGCCAAAAAACTGTCATAAATGCAGTTTCTAGTTTCGTCAATTTGTTTTTTAAGGACGCTGCTTCGTGACGAGTTTCAGTCTTTTCTGTTTCACTTTCTTCAATCTCATACAATGAATTATATAATTCTGCATAATTCTCAGCTAATGTAGTAATGGCATCATCGCGGCATGACCATCTTGTAGAAGATAAATTTTTTAATGTAGTGCTCGCGTGTTTTAGCAATATGCTCCAACGATGCGTAGAAACGGAAAAAAAAGTATAAAGTCGTTGTACAAGCCGGAAAAAATTCACAGAATCGATACACCCATCTACGCTGCACTCGCCAACTAAATTTAGTGAATGCCCTACACAAGGAACATAATACGCAAGAGGATTAACTTCCTTAATTCGCGCTTGTAATCCCGAGTATTTTCCAGACATGTTACTTGCATTATCGTAAGTTTGCGCTCGACAGTAAACAATATCAATTTCATTATTGCAAAGAACTTGTAATATTGTTCATTCAATGATGCTCCAGTATGGCTATTAATAGGTAAAAAGCAAAAAAAACGTTTATATACATAACCATCCAAACAGTACCGAAATACAATAGACAATTGATCAACGTGGGATTCCCCCCCCCCCCCCCTCCCCCCTTAATCCAGCCCTGGTTGCGTGAGATATTGTTGTGATAATATAAAAAGCAGGGACGTCGACTCAGAATTGTGCCAAGTATGGAGTAACGAATTGGCGAAGGGAGGTAAGGGCGAACAATAAAAAAAAAGTCTCATGATTGCATGAAAATTGTTGCACATATATTTTTATTTTTTACATGTAGGGTAAAATCAGGGATTATGG